TTTAATCGGTTGAAATGCGTTTTAATCGATTGAAACAAATCTGATCGGTCATAATTCAATTCTGATCGATCATAACCAACTCTGATTGGTCATAACTGTATTCTGATCGATCATTCTGACCCTTTAAGTGATTTTAATCGATTGAAACGTGTTTTAATCGATTGAAAAAATTCTGATCGCTCATAATTCAAATCTCATCTTATTCTGATCGGTCATATTTGTATTCTGATCGATCATAATGAGTTCTAAATGGTTTTAATCGATTAAAATCAAGTTGTATCGATTAAAATACTGTAAAAACACTTCTTTGAACATTCTAAGTGATTTTAATCGGTTCTTACAAAACTATATCAGTTAAAAACATGTTTAAGAAAACTTTTGTAAAAATACTTTGTTTTTAGTTGTTTAAAACGATTTTAGAGGCATTTCGCAAAATCTTTAAGTGAAGAACCTTCATGCAGCAGAAAAGATAAAATGATTTTACCTAAGCATTCTGTAGGCACACTAATCCTTCTACTCTTTTATCTAAGTGACTTGTTGACCGCTGCAAAGATGACTTTTGACTTTATCTTTGACTTCATCAAATCAATGAGATCTTTGCCAAATTATTTCAATAAGATCTTCATCACTTTCAGTCTCCCCCTATTTGATGAAGACAAACACCATTTTTGAAAAAAAAGCTCTGCAAGAAAAGTCACTTGAAAATACAGATTAGTGAGAAATTAAAAAATGTATTAATGTCCTATTTCTCCCCCTAAAACCTATTTCTCCTCTCTAAAATGTTGCTCACCTTAAATTAAGAGTTGTTTAAATTGATCCTAAGCAACTATTTCTCCCCCTTTTGACTTCATCAAAAATAGGGAACAAAAGAGAAATAATGAAATGCAAAGGTATTTATCAGTTTGAGTTTTTGAAAATAAAAGGAAATCAATACTTTACTCATGTAAAGATCAATCAAAGTTGATTCAAACTTATCTTCATTAACACGTTTGTAATGAATACAATTAACACGTGTAAAGATAAGGGAATCACGCTTTAGTAGCATGTTACAGGAACAACCATTAACTAAAGCCTTTAATTTTTCTTTCCAGAATAAGAATCGATTAAAAATAGGACAAAATCGATTAAAATATTTTTGGTAATGATTTTAATCGATTGAAAGAAAGGTTTAATCGATTAAAACATTTAAGAATTTGAAAACATGAAACTTTAGTGCAATTAATCGATTATTTCGACTTTTAATCGATTAAAACATTAATGAAAAATGTTATATAACTTCATTTAATCGATTTAAAAGATGTTTTTATTGATTAAAACATTCAGATTTGAAAACTATGACATTTCTATCTATGTTAGTTTTATCCAAATTAAAACCTATATTATATCAGTCAAAGTTAAAGCAAATGTGCCTGGTATATAACCAGTAATATTACAGACCCAGAAAAATAAGCATAAAAAAGCAATAAGATATAAGAGATAAGGTAAGAAGGGACCCTTTTTATCCATACTTCCCTGATTATTTGTGTCAGATATCAAAATTCATGACTCAGTCATTTGATCCCTACCAACTTTAAAAGGCCATAGGCTTCACTTTTTGCTGAAACCAATTTTGTTTTATCAATCATTGAGACAACAACAGCTGTTTTTCCTATTATGAACCCTGCAGTTATCACCATCCAAGCAAATAACTACATTTTCAATGTAGTATGAAGGAAAATGATAGCGTGTTATTCTTCCCTTCAAATGGATAAGTCATCATCATCTCTGAGGAATGAATTTTCTTCAACTTTGTTGTTTCCAGTGGTATCATATACTGGAACACATGCATACAAAACAGAACTAGTGATGACAGCAATCCAGGACTTCCCGGTCAATAACCATATCCATACTTATTTCATACATCACTATTATCATGGGCATCAAAAAGCATCGTATTCGTCACGAAATTTGCCTTCATTGAGGGAAGACAGTTATGTTGGTTCCAAACATCTGAAATTCCTTTAGAATCACTGAAAGATCCTCTTGTTGGTTTGTTGTTAAGGATGCCAGATTATCAGTATAAAATTGATCCCTGTGCTGACCATAAAACATACATTCCCTGTGGCACTTTTAGCTTTTCATTTAATTCTTGAATTGTTGTCTCAGATTGGTTTCCTTACAGTGACACCTCGTGACTTTGATGATTAAAACGAATTATCAAAGTTGCACAATTCCAATGAATTTCACTAAGAGTCTTGAACTAATGCATGCCCAAAATTATTCCAAATATATTGCTAGGTAATATCCAGAATTCTAATGTAAACGTGTGCCCAAGTTATTTGTTCATACTTCCTAGTAATCAACAACTTATTATCGAAGCAAATATTACTTGAAATACCCTTGATAAACTATGTTTTTAGTCCTAACAACTTGACCCATTTGTAACTAGTGTCCATAAGAAAAAGTTACGATCTACTTCTTGATAATTCCTTTGATTTGCAATGTATTACCACACAGCATTCCATGTAAAGTATTAAGAGAAATGTAGACATCTACAGCTTGAATCATGTCTATGTTGTTGTTAAAAAAAACTTTTTCATCCATGGATAACAGCAATAACTTTCCCACATTATTCCACTAGTCTAGTTTCTAATTCAAAGATTTGTTCAGCATTCGCTTTCCAATCATGAAAAATTTGTGCCTTTGAAAGGAAATTGGATGTTCCATAACAAACTACGAAACTCATTTATGATTATCTGACCGCTATTCATGAGACCAAATACAGAGGCACAAGTTACAGGTCAGTGGGTGTATCAGTTAATTTGTTCTTGGGAATCTGTTTGACTCGGTCAAAGAAATCTTAAAGAATTATTACAGATTTTGATTATCATAGAACCTGAGTTTTTGATTTGAATTCGCTTACCAAACTTCAATTGGATGTTATAAAAATGATTTTCAGGAACAAATTAATTAAACAACAAATTATCCTATTAATTTGATCTTTAATATTCGTTTTGAAAATGCAATAGTAAAATGATCGATTAATACTTGAAAGAATAGATTGTTTCTGTACTGGAAGTGATTTAGAAGATGATACCAGAATTTAAATCGATTAAAACGAAAATGAATCGATTAAATTTGATACCTTAGTGATTTTAGTTGATATAAATTCATTCTAATCGATTAAAACAGCTAAACTCAAATCATGAGAACATTTTAATCGATTAATTTGATATTTCAATCGATTAAAATGGTACTGACAGATATTCTGATTCCTCTGTAAGTTATTTTAATCGATTAATATTGCTTTATATCATTTAAAACAATCAGTTTAAATAATCAGAACCTGATTCGTAGCTCTAAACTCCAAGGGATTCCCAGACTTTGTTCCTGCAAAACAAGTTAAGAATTTTTCTGGTCCCCTTTATAGTTACTGGGTCCTGATCAGGTTATTTGAAATGAATTAATTTTTGGAACCCATTTCATTCTTCCTTTAGGAATAGCATACTTTTTTATTCTACAATATTTGACCGAGTGACCTTTCTTCATGCAGTAGAAACATTTGTTTACAGAGTATGAATTCCTATTTGTGTTTGTTTTCCTGGATCTAGATTTAAATCCTATTCCAGATTTGTCAAAAATCAATTTTTGAGACCCAAGTAAAACATCGAGATTGGCTTGCCCTTGTGTGAATCTTGAAACAGTTTGAGATAAAAAATCAATCTTCTTTTGTAATTCTGAATAGTTATTACATGGTTTATTACAAGCACAATCAGAATTAGCATGAATTAATTTCAAGTAATCACAATCATTTTCATCTTCAAGAATTCTTTTTTCCAGAGAATCAACTTTATTTACTAGCCAATTATTTAGCCCTTTTAACCTATCATTTTCTTTTTGAAGTTTCTTAGCCTCTTCATGCATTTCATTAAATGCTTCTTGCAATGCATCATAATTCACTAAATTTGAAGAGGAACTAGAACTTACATTGCTGGATTGTGGATTTTGACTTGCCATTAGACATAGGTTGACTTCTTCACTATCAGAATTATCTGTTGATGAAGTGTCATTGTCATCCCAAGCTTTATAGGCTCTTCTTTTGGCTTTCTCTTCTTTCTTGTCACTTTGTTTGTTTCTTTCTGGGCATTCCATCCTGACATGGCCACTGGTGTTTGGTGATTCTGAGTTGACCATTAAGCATATCTCTGGTGCTTCTTCATAGGTCTTTTCAAGGATCTTCCACATTTGTGCAGCAGTTTGACAATGTGCAATCCTAAAAAAATCATTTCTGTTAAGAGCGGATACGATGATATTTTTGGCAATACAATCATCTTGGATTCTCGTTAACTGTAACATCCTAATTCTCAGTACCTCTACAACTTTTGTCAAAAATTTTATTAATTAAATTATTAAGAATTGGGGAAAGTGACTATAGAGTTTTATGTTGGTTAGATTATTTGTGATTTTTAGAAATTTTCTGGAAAAAAAATAAAAAAATAAAATAATAATAAAATAATAATAATAAAATAATAATATATATAAAAAAAATAAGATTTTGACTTTTCAAAAAGACATTCACTCTGCGTAACTTCTCCCTTCTCCCATTTTCTCACTTTCTCTGAAACTGTCAAATATCAAAACTCTTACTCACTCACAACTCCAACAGAGTATAGAGGGAACTCACTCACAATTCATATAGAAAGAATATAGAGGAAAACTCAACTGACTATATTTCATTTCTGCTTTCCACAATATACAATAGGTCTATTTATACTTCTAACTTCCAGCTAATTACAAAATTATTTATTTTTAATAGCTTCTAATATGTATTATTACAATTTCCCCCCCTTAAAACAAGGACTTGACCTCAAGTCCTTTCAATTACTCTCCACTCAAAATCAGGGAACTGCATTTGTAAATCATGTAACTCTCTCCAAGTTGCATCTTCAGGATTTGTTTCCTCCCATTGCACAAGTACTTCAGTAATTAGTTTCCAATCAAATTGTATTCTTTTCTCAACATCAAATAGGTGAAAGTCGAGACTTTTATTCGGCAAATACTCGTATACAAGTATCTTTTCATTTTCCTCTAAGCAACATGCCAACAGTCTTACAAGGTTGCGATGCCTCAATTTAGCTATAAACATTACTTCATTATTGAACTTCTCCGAACCTTGACCAGAAAATTTTGAGAGTCTTTTGTTAGATACGTTTTTTGTTCCAACAGTATGCCATGTTGGGTATGTCAAAGCTTTCCCAAAGAAGTCCTCATTTGAGTACCTTATAACGCAGTAATCATTCCACACCAGAGCAGATACATTACTGGGGCAGAGCTGAGCGACTTCTTTTGTAGCAGTGGAAACACAAAATTGACAAAAGTATCCAACCATGCCACCACCACAATCATAGAGGCCATACGCAGAGCTATTGGTGCCTATGGTGGTGTGGTTATAACCATTGCTTGTGGCTGCATCGGAGGACATCCATGTGAGGATTTTGTCAAAGTTGGTTTGGTATGCACTGCTGAGAGTTTGTTGGGTGCCGTTTCCGCAGTTACCTCCCAGGTTTGTCCAGTCAACAATTGAGGGCAAGCGTTGGTAAACTTGTGACGAGTTTGCATCTGGAAGCCCTTCTGAAATCAGGTACGTATGCAATTTTGCTTCTTGTTTCAATCTTGAAATCTCAGCTACTGGATCATCAAAACAACTATCATCAAATCGGTATGCCACATCTTGAAGAATTTGTTCCCAAGACTTGTTCTTGAAAGACGTTTGCTGCATGTAATGGCGTTGCCACGAAAAAGCATTTCCATCCATTGATAATAAAAGCAATCTGCCACGTTGATGAACTGGTGTGGATTCCAACTCAAAAAATTGTTCTACCTTTGCTCGCCATTCACGGAAATTTGTACCATCAAATGAAGGAAATTGGATTTGTGCTCTTTCAATCACAGATTTGGAAGAAGCACCTTCCAGGTCATCTTGAATTATGATCTTTTGCCCACCATTCCATGTCGCAAGTGAAGATACGATAGTGTCGATAGATTTCTGGAGAGAATCCAGCGTTTCTTTCGTTGAATCTTGAGCCATGATGAATGATTTCTCAAAGGATTCCATGCGCGCTTCAAGTTCCTTAACTGTCACCATTGTCCCAACGTACCCAACTTACTGATACCAATGTCAAATATCAAAACTCTTACTCACTCACAACTCCAACAGAGTATAGAGGGAACTCACTCACAATTCATATAGAAAGAATATAGAGGAAAACTCAACTGACTATATTTCATTTCTGCTTTCCACAATATACAATAGGTCTATTTATACTTCTAACTTCCAGCTAATTACAAAATTATTTATTTTTAATAGCTTCTAATATGTATTATTACACAAACCCTCCTCAATTTGAAGCTTAATTTTGAAGGGAAAATATTGATTTTCTTGAGAAGCTCCAAGAGGTAAGTTTGTTTCTCTCAATCTTCTCTACATTTCTACGGTTTTATTTTTCAAAACGGTGCAATTTCAATTTTTTTTCTCATTTGGCTAAGCTTGAATGGGAGTAAAAAGAGTGTTATTGTAGGTTTTACACCTAAGACACTAGAATAATACTTAGAATTGAGGATTAGAAGTGGTTAAACTAAAAAGCTTAAGAACCCTAATTCGTAGGTCACTGTTTATTGAATTTTGGGACGTTTGTGAACAGAATTAGGAATTGGTATCTTCATGAAAGTTGTAGCCCTTTAAGTTATAGAAATTTAGAAACTTGTTTCACATCAAACGGATATTTGTAGCTCAAGTTATGTTCATTTTACTGTCAAGTGCTATAGCTGTGAAGTTAAGAGGTTGCCCTGTTTCAACAGCCTCGGTTTTTGAATTACTGGGATTGATACGTGTGAAATTAGGACTTGATTCCTTCATAAAAGTTGTAGGAAATTATATTTCCGAAATTTAGAAATTTGTTTCATGTCAATACCTTATGTGTAGCATGAGTTATAGTCAAATTACCAAGGCATGTTCAGAGTGTTATTGTAGTTGAGCCATGTTGGGAAACAACCACTGTAAACTGAAAAACTGCATTTATTCTACAAGGTATTTGAATTTATTTCCTTCATAAATATTGTAGGTAATTAAGTTATTGAAATTTTGGCTCTTACCTCATGCCAAAACAGTTTATATAACTCTAGAAAATTCTGAAATACTGAACCTTGTCCATATTTGTTATTAGGATTCTTCCTACTCTAAGTGTATTACCTCCATTACTCTCTTCTACTTGTATTAATTCCATTAGCATCAATTTAGGCCCTAGAAATGATTTTATAACTCAAAGAACCATAGTCTTGAATTTTAGAATTTTAGGCTATGAAGGAGGTGAGATTTTAGAGGTCTAATATGGTTGGAATTAAGGATTTAATTGGGGTATTTAATTGGCATGTAGGAGACTACTTAGAGGTGCAAAGAGGACACCCAAAGACTTGATAGATTATTTGATCAAGAGTTACTCTTCACCAAGTTACAACATAAGGTAAGGGGTAGGATAACTTTTATAATTCATTTTTGCTTGAAATAGCATTGAGAAGAAGTCCCTTACTTCTAAGTTAATTAGAATTTTATTTGGAATTATTTGAATGTCATTTCTATTTTTGATGAATTTTTAAAGTTTTAAGATTATGTGAAATTTATGGCTTCTAAATGGAGCAACTTGAGTGTATGGAACCTTGTATGATTATAAGGCATCCATGAATGTTGTTTGAATCGATTGCTTAATCATTAGTAATTTTATATGATTTATTGATGAATTTAGATTGAGAATTAGCTTATTTCTATGTTTAGTATTCTGATAATTGCTTTAAATTGATTATTGAGATATATTGTATGTATGTTATGAAGCATGATAAGTAGAAAATTATTGTGCAATGTTTTTGTTAAGATGGATTAGCATATAGAATTGCATTATATAATTTGGTGGAATGGAGGAAAGGTGTGAGAAATGAACTATGTGAGAAAGAAAACTATTTTTTTTATATATTAAATTGAATTTTATAATTTAATTATGAAGTGAATTTTTATATTTTTATTTAATTAATAAATATTTTTCAAAAGTATTGGAATAATTTTGATCTAGGAGAAAACAAGTAATTGTAAGTGAAAATGAATTTTTAATAATTTTGAGGAAATTATTTGCAATTATTACTATTATTTAAGAAAAATAAATTAAAATTGAGAAAATTATGATTTTGAGTGATGATGAATATGATGAGGTGGAAGGATGGTTTGGTGAAAAGTAGAAGTGTTCTGGGCTGTTTTTGGTTATTTTACAGGTGTTAAAAATTTTGGGAATGTCCAGATTTACAGGGGAAACTCGTCGAGATTTTTCTTAAGAAATAACCTAGTATTATTTTGAAGAAGTTAAGATGTGATTTAAGTATAATGAGGTGAAACAAATTTGAAAGAGTGTGAAGAAGTTATGATAAGTCATGCATCATGTTCATGAGTCGAGAGAATGAATGTATGAGGAGGATATGGAAAATCGGGGTCGGTTCCATGCTAACCTCGGGGATGATTGAGTGTGATCGAGCTCATATGTGGCTCAGGCTCGCTACCTAAGCTGTGAGACTCTCACTACCAAGCTTGATTATCCTGACTAAAGCCCCAGGGTTTCTCATGATCAGTTGAGCTGGACAAGTAATTATGAGTATACTACCGCAAGGCGGTGAGAGGTTCCAGTGAAACTCCTGATCCTTCTCGAAAAGAAAAAAGAAAAAAAAGAAAAGAAAAGAGAAAGTGGTTTTGGGATCCCCATGGTCTTGCATACTAGGATGTGTCCTAGAAAAGATTAGTGAATACATTGCATTCATAATATCATATCATTTGTGTGCTGATTACTAGTATGTTTGTATATGTAATTTCTAATTAACCCAATGTTATTTGCATGCTCTAAGTGAATGTAAAGTTGTCTTACCCTTTCTGTGCATGTATTGTTATTATGAAATGTTTGCATAGGTGATGTTGAACACAACTCATCCCCGGTATCATCTCCAAGTAAAGTTTAAATACGATCACTGCAAGTACTAAGTAGAAGACTTGATCGGACACCACTACAGTGCTACAAGAGATACTTCATTTTAGTGGAAGTACAGAATATATCTCCTCTTTAGTTGGGTTGTATAATTAGTTTGTCTAGTTAGTTTGTTTGCTCTGGTATTGTGAACCCTTGTTAGGTGTATTTTGGGATGACTTTATGTATATTTACTATCTAGTTATACTTGACACTTATGAATGATATGTATATTAATCACTAAGTGTATGCTCTAATTATTGTGTACTTTACTTCTACAAGACTGTATTGGTAATCAAATACTAAGAGGAACCAATAATAATTGATAAATCATAATAAAGTGAATGTTGGTATTAAAGGTGTCACAATTAGTGGTATCAGAGCAGTTCTTTCCTATAGGCCTGGGGAAAGGCCTAATATGCTTGTCTGTGTACTCTTGTATTGTTATTTTCGACAGAAAGTAGTGATGTGAAATTGGTAATGTGGAGTAATTCTTAGTTTATCTAGTTTTACTTCACATATATAGAGGGGATTGATTGAATTTGTGATTGCAGGAAGTGATGGCAGGGAAGAGGTAGAGGACGTGGTAATGCTCTTTTGAATGAATTGCTAGAAAGAATGGTTGGAGTGTTAGAGAGACAACCAGCGAGGACAAGTTGGTACTCATAGTCTAGAAAGTTTTATGAAGAACAACCCTCCAAAGTTCAAAGGTGGATTTGATCCGAGATGGAGCCCGATTATGGATTGAAGAGTTAGAGAAGATCTTCATAGCAATGAATTGTCCAGATGCCGAGTAAGGTTACATTTGCAGTTTATTTATTTCAAGGGAAGCTGAACATTGGTGGAGGTACACTAGACAACAATTGGAGGAGGCAGGAGGAGCAATCAATTGGGAAGTATTTAAGCGAGAGATTTTTAGAAAAGTATTTTCCGAAGATTTGAGAAGGAGGAAGGAAGTGGAATTCCTGAATTTGAAGCAAGGAAGTATGTCCGTGAGGGAGTACGCGGCAAGGTTTGATGAATTATCCAAGTACTGTCCGTATTTCAACAATAATGGTGATGATCGCTCACGATGCACTAAGTTTGAAAGTGGGTTGCGTCCTGACATCAAGCCGGCAATAGGATACCAGGAGATTACTCATTTCCCAACGCTCGTAAATAGATGTCGTATTTATGAGGATGATGCTAAGGCCAAACAAGCACATTGGAAAAATTTAGGACCTCAGCGAAATTTTCTATAGAGAAAAGGACAATCCTCCGATAGAGGAAAACCTTACCAACCTTCTCAAAGGCAACAAAGATTCTCATATGGAGGAAGTGGGTATCAACCACCAGTGGGAAGTTCAAGTAGATCAAGTGGATTTAGTGGAAAATGTTTTATTTGTGAAGGACCACATCTTGCACGAGATTGCCCGAAAAAGAACTATAA